AGACGGCACGCAGGCACACACAGATACATGCACACATATATGGCACGTATGCACACAGATACACAGATATATGGCACGTATGCACACGCACACGTGCACACATATATGGCACGTATGCACACACATACACGTGCGCACATATATGGCACGTATACACATGGATATACACACATGCACACATATACGGCACATGTGCACACAGATGTAAACACATGCACACATATACGGCACATGTGCACACAGATCTTGCACACTCGTGCACACATACACGGCACGTATGCGCACACGTACACACGCACAGGCCGCCAGGAGGGTCTCCGGCACCTCCCGGTCGCGCCTCGCGCCATGGAGGGCGCCGGGATCCCCCTGGCCGCCTCCCCACAGCTGCTGCCACCCCCGGGAAGGGGAGCCTGTGTTGTGGCTCCGTGCTTTTTTCATTAAAATAGAAGGATAATACAGAAGGGTGTGTCAGAGCAAACACGCCTGAGCAGCCTTTTATTTTCATTTATGAAACAAACGGGTGTTTATTCTGCTGCCGAGATGCCTTTCGGAGCGAGCTGCGGTGCTCGCGCTCCGTTTAGGTACGGCTGAGGTTCCACGCCGCGCTGCGTTCCTCCAGAATGCTGTGTGTCCATAGACTACAATGCCAGCGTTTGTTTTTCAGCAGCTTGTCCAGGGAAAAACAGTCGTGGCGCAGAGATTTCCGTCACCTTGCCAAGCGGGGGTCTTTGCAGTGACCGAAATTCCCTTGTTTAGGGGTGAATCGGGGGTGTCCCTGTAGACCCCAACAGCAGTTTGCCCAAGACCTGTGTTGCAGCACAGGGACAGTCAGTCACCCCAGGGACGTCCTGGCCCCGCTGGGTGCTGTGGCTAAAACCTACCGGCACCCACAGAGACCAAAACTGGCATCAGCAGGTTGTCCAGATGAGCAACTGGGGAAAATACACACCTCAGGAAAAAACATATGCAGGTATGGGTTTTTTCCTCCACTTCCATTCTGCTGTATTTTGGAAACCACTTTGTACCCGCTATGCTGCGCTGCGATTCTTATCTTGAAWCCAGAACAGGTAGTTTTTCCTTAGTATGTGTCATTAGACATATTTTTCCCCTTGCTAGAGGAAAAAGGGACAGCAAAGATTAGCAGAATGCCAGAGGAGAGAAGGCTTGTTTTAGTTATGCAAGGAACAAATGGATAATCCAAATTGGGATGACAGGTCGTGCTCTCACTGAATCTCCAAACTGGAGCTGCTCCAGCGCGCTGTTCTGCCAGCCATTTCACAAGAGGCCCTTGCTCAAGCACCCACACCTTTTCTCTGAAAAGATTGTGTTGTGAATACAGCCATAAGCATCTTCAGCCTTTTTCATGGCCCAGAAGACCACAGCTGAACACTGTTTTCTTTTTTTCAAGAAATAAACCTTCCAGAAGATTAAATTATTAAACTGTGCATCTCTGCAGGTTGCCGTTGCTACCTTGCAGCTGGTAGGAAATGGCTGATTCCAGGGCAGGCCAAATTAGAACCACGCAGACGTTTCAGTGGGATTTGGTAGTTTTGGTAGAATTTTTTCTTTAAAAAAAAACAACTTTCATAACAATAAAGACTGTATTTTATTGCCAAAAAAATAATCAGAAGCCGTTATGAATCTTTAACAAAGGTTGCAGATAAGACAATCTTTTTATTTAAAGAGTTAATCCACTTTTTGCTAGTCTCCAGTAAAGATAAACATAAGGACACAAAATGCCGTATATCTGGCACCTAAGGTCAGGCTTATGGAACAAACATAGGTTCGATAGACTGGATCTACTTTTATTGAAAATTGACTAATAAAATTGAGTTTCGGCCACCAAAAACAGCCAGTTCCACTGGTCAAGTTCACTTTCTTTCTCTTCTGCCTCTTTCCCTCCCTTCAGACCCATCCACCTTCACCTGCATCCCCAGCAATCTGCTTGCACTGTCTTTTCTGTGGATCCGAATGCTTTCTTCAGTCCTGCATGAAATTTTCACATTTCAGCCTGTCTTTTACAATCCTCTGTTTCCTAAATCTGTGCCAGATTAGGATTGCATTTTAGGAATCACCTATGAGAATCATTGCAAGCCCTAACCAGGAGAAAGGCGTGCAAGTCCAGATTTTGAATTTCTAGAAGTCAGTCAGTCTCCTTTTTTTTTTTTTTTAACTTTTTTTTTTTTATCCTGTATGACTGTTCATATTGCATCATGCTCTATGAGTATAACCAAAATATATCCTTGCTCCCAAATGACGTACATCTGCTTTGGAATAGTGGCTTGGCTTTTTTTTTGCTTTTTTTTTCCTTTTCCTTCTTTAACCTTAAGAGGCTGATAAATAAATGATTGCTTGATTTGATGTGGCAGAGTGATATTGCTGCAGTAACTCCCATTCCCAGAGCAAAGCGACTGCCTCTCTTACGTGCCCTGGTTTGTTCCATCCTTAACAAAGTACCTCAGGGCCTCCATATTTAGCTGTTTCCTAAGGAGAAGGGCCGTGGTTTTGTGCTCTCCCAGCTGACCTGCACTGAGATGAAGCCTAAGCCACTCCGTGGGGCGGAATGTAACTGGGCTTCCTCCGACATCTCTTCGGCTTGTTCTGTGAGCAAACTCCGCTGCCGTTGGTCATGGCCTAAGACTACTTTTTGCAGAAGAAAAACAGGTGGGATTAGACATTTTTTTGTTAGTAGAGGGGCAGCAGGGGCTGAAAATCTTAAGCAGCTCTGCGCTGAATAACCACAGAGTCACAAATTGGCTGCTAGAAAAGTCTGGGTGGATTTGGAACAACGTGTGACACAATGAGGAAGCCCAGTAAAACACATTTATGGCCAAAACACAACGTTTCATTGCAGGGAAAAGGAGCAGATAAGGGGCGAATTTCATCCTTTTGTGGGTGTTTTATTCCTCTGCCTACCTGCTGCAAGGGCTTTTATCTGGAGAGCAGCTTTTGCCTGGTCTCCACAGCTACAGTTGGTCTCCCCAGTTGGAGGAGACCAGGCAGTAGCAGCAAGTGTCTCCTGAAGCTAACGTAAGGCAGTGCAGGGAGATGAGCACCCCGCTGGATTCTGCAAAAATCCCATTTTGGACCCAATAATATTCAGTCTTTCAATGAAGAATGACAGAATAGGCTGTGTGCCCATATAAAATCCACAAAGAGAGGAATAAAGACAGGAACTGAGTTCAAAATGATCATGAAAAAATGGAAAAGGGTCGGAAGTGTGTGAGGTTAAGTTCAGTGATGAGAAGTGCAAAGTATTGCATTTTAAAAGGAAAGCTTGAGCACTGAGACCCRTAATGAAGAACAGCCAGCAACGTACGCCGCCCACAGCGGCGAGCTTCAGCTCCTCTGCTCCTCCTACAGCAAGGGCCGGTGTGATACAGCTCCTGCTAAACTAACTATTTCATTACTTTAATTATATAATTTAATTTATTTAACTATTATRAACTATCTAACTCCTGCCTGTGCTGATTTAAATGGCTGCAAATTCTCCTTAACCTACGTATTTGATCTGAGTAGGAGTCCATAACATGGCACTGCTAAAAATAGTCCAGATAATCTCCAATGAAAGGGGTGCTAAAGGCAAGAAATAAGGACTGTTCCTTATCTGCTGAACTATATGAATTTCTGAGCCCAGTCTTATGTGTTGCRCTTATTTATATGTAGTTAATATAGTGAAGAAGAGCAATAAAAATAAAAGGGGTCGGCATATCAAGTGTTTTAGAAGAGGTTATACAGCACAGCTGGGATAACTGGAGTGGTCTGGATTTTCCCTTGGACCAAAGAGCAGCCTGAGGGCCATCCTGGACCTGCACCCTTTTGAATCCCTGGTAAAATCATCAACAAAACCATGCGGGACATTGTTGGAATTAAGGAGATGAAGTGGAGTAGATGTTGTGGTATGCAGTAATGAACTTCAGCGAGAGTCCAAACTGAACAATATTAATCTATCCTCAGGCACAGAAAATAAGCCTAGCTCATGGTTTACAGCTCAGGAAGCAGACAGATGAGTGAGAGGGCCTCCCATACGGACATACATACATAACAGCCAGCAATGGAGATCATACGTCAGAACAATCAAAAAACATTACAAATGTAGTATTTCAGAATATGGAAAATAAGAGCTGAGAATGAAATTTGGGAATGTTGGTTCCCAGCCCAACAGATTTTTCTTTTTTTCCTTTTTTTTTCCCCTGATCCTAAAGCATTTGTCTTTGGAAAGTTTTAAGATACTTCGATGGAAAATCAATGGAAATTTCCTTAGATAATTTAAACATATACATTTTAGAAGGGATTGGGAATATTGATCTTGTTGGTGCTGAATTTTATTTAGTAGTTATGCACAAATAAGTAGTGCTTTTTTTTTAATCTGTTTTGATTTTCCTATTTCAAGTAATTTGTAATTTTCACTGGTTAAAATACCTCAACTGCTTTTTCAGTTTGAGTGTTATCATCCTGTCCCGTTATTTTTCTTTTTAATGGAAGATCAGATAAAGAAGAAAGAAAATGGTAAAATTGGGGAAAAGTTTGCATTAACTGTTCTTCCATATAGGCGTTTGCAATGAATGTGGTGCAGTTTTTAAGTTAGTAACAATAAAAGAAGATAAATACTCTTCCAAAAAAACAAACAAGAGTTAGATCAGCAATTCCATATCTGGGGAAATGTCTAAACCTTTGTTTTTGTTAAATAAATAGCAGTTATTTTGGTTCTAGTCAGCACTTGAGATTCAGGACATCCATATGCAGAAGATTTTTTTTTCAGGGTCCCATGTAATTTTGAATATAATTATATTATTTTAGTGCCCACAGAATGAACTGAAACCAATCTAATCTGGACATTGCTCTTTCAGATTATTAGGAAGGCTCTAACAGAGGAAAAACAAGTGTCTACAAAGACATCCGCAGCAGATCTTGTGACAGAAACTGATCATTTTGTGGAGAATTTTATTATTTCTGCTCTGAAAGAGAAGTTTCCCTCCCACAGGTGAGTATCTGCTGAAAGAAGTGAAATAGCCTATCCATGAGCTTTTTTTTTTTCTGTAAAAATTCCATGTGTGACTGGCATTCAAAGAGAGTTTTAGAAGTCTCTCTCTAAAAGTCAAAAAACTTTGGTAAAAATACTTTTTCTTAATCCAGTTTCCTTCAGTTTTATATATCTTAAATATGAATATGTTCCTGTTAGACACTTGCGTATAGTCCTCCTCCTGAGAAAAAAACTACTGTTGTAGCTGYACTCAGGACAGCAGAATTTCTAATGTTTCTACCATCACCTGTGCCCTTTTAAATGCTTGTTTCTTAATGTCTTGAAATGCATTTACTAGTGATGTAATRTTTTTTTCTCCTGTAGAGGTATCTTGTAGGAAAGTTTTGTATCAACCTCCATGTGTTTCCCGGTACTGATCTATTCTCTACTGCCTGAGTATAATATGAAGCATATCTATTTTAAAATAAAGCTGGTATTAATGATAGGAAGGGCTCTGTCCTGCAGCCCCTGCCGTCTCCTGCCTTTCTGCATAAGCATTTGGCAGATGAGGGCACTTGCCATTTTTAATCACATTTACCTTGTGCTGTGTACRATCCTAAAGTCGGTGAGCAGCAAGGCTGTTTATCATCATTTAATGCATATAAATAAGCAAGACACAAGCAAGCTACTGCTTGGGGTTTTAACCCACGCTTTTAAAAATAGATCACGTTGTTGACTTCTGTGGAGCTGTGAAGGTCAGCTCGGAAATAACTCCTCCCTGTGCACAGATTAGAGGGCGGTTTTGTATTAGTTGGTCAGGGTTGGTGTGATGCAGCGACAGTGCAATTGATTTCCACATTTGACTTCACTCTGCAAGGGTAAAATGGCTCTTCCTTCAGAAGCGGTGCAGAGGCTGTGCTTGGCTTAAATGCTGTTTAATCCCCCTCAAACTGTGTGCTTCCTCAGTGGATATGAGCCTTGCAATCCAGCGCTGAGCAGAAGTAAACAAAGATGAGAATCTGTAGGGCTCTGCTAATGCTGCATGTATTTTACTAAGCTGATTCGGTCAGCTGAAGTGTATATATATAAAAAAAGAAGCCWTTGGAATGAGTAGAAAGAACATTATATTCTAAACCCGGCTTTCTAAGTACGTGTCGTGTGTGATCGTGCACTGAAGCAGCACTGTACGGCAGGACGTGTGGCGCTTGGCCGCGCTTCTCAGTGAGAGTGCCAGGCTTTGCAAGCCTATTATTTGTGTAATATTCCATCCACTGTCGCTGGCCGTGCTCTCAGCTCCAGTGTGTTGTTTCTTTTCCTGGACAGCCTGGCAGAGAACATGCTACATACAAATTTCACGTAAAAGGGGAGTGATCAGAAGCACTCAAGCTACTCGYGGTGGGAACGAAATTGCAAGGTCAAACATAGACCTAGAAACTGAAAACCCTCCAGCTTCATTAACCCTGTGCAGTTCACTTGTGACTACATGAGCAAATTGAGAAACTGCCATGCTTTTTTAAAACAAGTTGTTTTTGTTGGTGGTACTCGTTGTCCTGACATTGAATAAAGTTGGATTAGTTTAAAAAATAGATTTAAAATAGATTAAATAAAGAGCCCACTATTGAGATAAAAAATAAAGAGTAGCAATCAAGGTTTAATTTTAATGTAAACGTTAAAAGATCATTTAAGYTGTGTTAGGTCTTTCCCTTAATTTGATTCTTAAAATCATCGGTGAAGATTTCTATGTTCTTTATCTCTTATTTAAATTATCTTTATTTTAATGCTGTCTGACTTGAAAAAAAATGTATCTTGGAAGTGTGAAAAATTAAGAGAGATGTCACTGCAACCTGTACCATTTGTGCCATGTCAGAGTGATCCATTCTGAGATATGGGAAATGTGCTTGGAAGTAATAAAAAATGTTAGGAAAAGCTATTAAAAACCTATTTCTGTCCCATATTCCTTTCTTCTTATCTCTGTATGGCTGACGAATGYGTTAGGGATTGGTGAGGTGTAGCTCTGATTTGACCCTTCTGCTCTAAGCGAGCATCACTCCTAGCTGCAGTTCATACCATGCTACAATTTCCTGGCTGTTCCAGCAGTGAATTTCTCAGTGGCTTCGTGATATGCACAGATGTCCACTAAGGCTAGGCTAAAATCACTAGGCTTATTTTGCACACGAGAAAACTTTAATCCAGGTTTGCACAGGAGTCGACACAGCTGAAAGGCTGGGATATTTAATTAACTGCTGCAATAACACGTCTACCTCTCCCACTTTGGCCATGTACCTGTCTAAGGTTTGGTACCCAGTGCTTTAGCCTGAATATTTTGCTTAGTTTGTTTGCTTTTACAGCATATAGAGCCATAGAGCAACACATCAGCTGCGTGCTGGCCTGGCCTGTGGGAGCTACCGCAGTACCTAGTGCTGTACAGCAGCAATAGCCTTTTTTTAGGCTATGGTTTCCTCATTTCTCATACGCCTCCTGCTTCTGAAAATGAATCTGTGACATTGTAAACGTCAATGGGACTGTTGTACCTCAGCTTCCCATTCATATTTTTGTACGTAGGGACTACAGTGCACAGGCACCCACTATGAGGAAAAGGCCAAGAAGATGAGTTTCATCTCACTACCGGCCAGTAGTGCAGCCAAAGCTTTTCATGTGTTTAGGTCATAACCAGAAGAATTTTAAAAGGAGRAAAGCAAGTTGTAAACACCAACAAGGCAAAATGATGAACTATATAGAGCAAGCAAGCAAGCAATCTGTGATATGTTTGAGAACTTCAGTGGCTTGTTCCAGGGTTTTTGGCTTTCTGGTTGCACTCTGACTCTTTAGGTGTCATTTTAAATAWGGCCCTTCACCGTTTTCTGTAATGAAAATTAAAATAGTAACAAGTGGTTCCTGTCACGCCAACATGGGCCTATAATGCCACATAAGCCCTTTTCTTGGGGAAAAAGTTTCTTTTTCCCCAAGCACTCGCAGGAACTCTGTATACCAAAACTAGTTGTTCAGGTATGATACCCAGACCATGATTGTTCAAGTATGATACCCAGACCAAGAGTTTGTACCAGCATTTTCATTCTACACAGGCTATATATGCAGAACTCTACTGAAATCTGTAAGATCAGCACCTGCAGGGCGCTCACAGAAACAGATCCTGAGCACTTTATGGGAGAGCAAGGATAATTAAGGTCAGCAGGAAATTTGCCAGAACTGGTTGTACATTTCCCAGGAAAAAAACAAAAACAAAACTACTGAAAGAAGTCGGTACACAACATTAGACAAGCTCAGATTTCAGTGTGCCTTGTGCAGCCCCCCCACCACAAAAAAAAAAAAGTGTTGATTTACTTTGGGTCATGGGAAGAAGAAAGTTCAGCTTTGTAAATCTTTCAATTTCCTGACTCCAACTGCTGCAAAAAAATCCTGTAGGAGTCAGATTGTGGATTTTTGTAGAGTGCATTATTTYTTACTGACTGAATTTGAGTGCAAAGAGCAGCAAATACATTTTGCAGTTTGTATTACTTACTGCAAGAGACAGCACAAATTTATGTTGTACAGAAAAGCTTCTCCCAGGATTCCAGGGATGCCAGTTCAGATTCATTTCTGCATGCTTTCCATAATTGTATATGAGGAGAGAGAACATAAATGGAATTATATATTACCATGTAAAATCATATGCTGTAAGCTTGAGAACTCTCTTTTAAGGTTTCTATGAGAATCTTTCACTCACAAATTAAAAAATAAAAATATATGTGTTTGTGTATATAATATATAAATTAAGTAGTCGGAAGGAGTTCAATTTTCTTTTACACTTTTTACTCAATATCAAATATAGGTTCATTGCAGAAGAATCCACTGCTGCTGGTTCAAAATGTGTCCTCACGGACAGTCCTACTTGGATTATTGACCCTGTTGATGGAACTTGCAATTTTGTGCACAGGTAAGTAGACAGGAAAGTGAAAGCAGAGAAAATATCAAAAAATCTTCCAGTTAATCCTCCCTTTAAAGATATTTTACTGTGTTGTATGCTCAACCTGCACTTAAAAACACCATTACATTTTCAAATTCAGAAAGGTTTTGCCTAAGTTAGAATCATCCCTGTATCTTTTTATACCCCATGTCGTATGTCTCAGGGGGTGAGTGATTGTGTTGGAGAGAACTTTATATTTTTACCTAGAGCTAAGCCAAAGTTTCTGCTAATTCCCTGCTTAATGACCTAGAAGCTCTTGACTCATAGCTGGTGTATATACAGCACACACGGCATGTGGAGGCTTGACCTGAGCTGGAGAAACAAGGCTGTGCCGTGATGACATTTGGCCTAACTCTTTACGTGGCTGTTACATATCCCTCCTAATAGTGGTGTTTGCTCCCTCTCCATAGACACATTTGTTTTTCACAGAAGTACAACCATTGCCTATATGTAGAAAATATCTGAGGACTCAGCTTTACTGTATAACATGGACTTTATTCTGTAAATGCCTGTAATTCTGCTTTGCAAAGAGAAATGCAGGCATCATTGCTGCCAAAATACAGATTTGTCATTTAAGTGCTGGGAATTGTGAACTAATGTAATATTTCTGTTTAAAACCTAAATATATTCTACCTTATACTTAGGAATTTAACATAGTTATAGTTACCACAAAAAAAAAATTCTTTACTCCTGGTGCAATTCTGCAGTATTCTGGTGGCTGGGAGAAGGGGAGCTTATGTGCTTGTCTTTTATCCAGTGAAGGAAAATTTTCCTACCACTATTTTTTGGACCTTTTTTTCTACAGCCTTTTTTAAAACATGCTTTTAAGAATTCATTTCATTATTTAAAGTGCAATTATTATACTTCAGTCACAAATTAAGTGCAAGATCATCACTTTGCAAAAGAGAGGGTAGAAAAACAGGTTTCCCCTTGTCTTGATGGCAGCAGTAAGATTTCTCTCTGCAGCTTAATTGCTGTTTCAGATACTTGGAGTTCACTTGAACAAAATGTGCTGTCAGAAGTGATTACTTGTTATAACAAAATAAATGTTTTTAAATTAGATAATTCAGTAACATTGAAAGAAAAAATCACTAAATATACAACATGTTATAGTATAAAAAGACTGATATCTTTATGTGTTTTTCTTGCCTTTTCCTATATTAAGTTATATGTTTTTTAAGGATTCACAATTTCAGAGAGATCAAGAATGATACTTAAATATTTTTTACCTTGGAGCATTCTTCTTTTCTCAGACTCTTTAGCTCTGTCAATCCTTTTAAAAAAATATAGCTCAATATTAAACCCGAGTGAAGTCACAGAGCTCCCTGCAGGGTTTTGTTGTTTGAGAGAGTTGCAGAACTATTAAGTTCCAAGATTTCTCATACTTGGAGATATTTTTCATTTTAATGCTACTTCATTTCTTATTCTTCACAGGTTTCCAACAGTGGCAGTGAGCATTGGATTTGCTGTCAACAAAGAGGTATAAAATAATGTTCTTTAAGATGAGTAACCTTGGATCTGGCTAGAAGCCTAAAAGCCCTGTGGAAACTTAAGAAAAAAACCATCCAATCAGCTACTGCACTGGCTTTTCATGCCAAGTCTATTTGGGCATACTCTGCTAGTCTAAAATGCCAGTCCTCCAAGACTTCTCTTATGTATAAGGGCAATTATAGAATAATTCTCATGAATTATTATAAATATTATAGGATTTGTGTAACTACGAAGTGAGTACTGGAGTGGGCAAGGTTTTGTAAGACAAAGATGCGATGAGTTAAATATAGTGCTGCCTATTCATAATTTAAATGTGTCTCCCAGTGTTCTTATGGTGACAGTTATGGCTTCTTTCCTCCTAGCAGCATCTGTGAAAGCTAAGGGCTGCTGTGAGATGTAATTCAAAACTGCTTTCTATGATAAGTACAAAGTCAGGGACCTAATTCACTTAATCTGACTTGGTGGGTTTTTATGTAGTAAAATTACTGTACTTCCCTCATGAGAGCTTGATCACAGGAAAACAAAGAAGAACTTAGCTTTCGTGTCCGCTGTCTTCTTTGAGTTTCCTAGCTGTACTCATTCATGCTAGAGGCTTTTTTTTCCAGACATTGGTGTTTTACAGTCTGAGATATACGGAAGAAACAGCTCTTCAGGTTGCCAAGGAATGTGCCTCATGCAGCCTGATGCCACAGTAGAGCTGCCACTGAAGCCAGCAAGAACTCTGTGCAGTAAAAAACATAGTTGTCAGATGTGCTAGCAGCTCTCAGTGATTTAAACCCAATAATGCTGTTTACTTCTCCAGTTTGACATTTCAAACATAGAAACTGCAGTGAACCACTTCCATGCTTTTCTGAAGTTTACTCCTTCCCGATGGCCTTTTGAATTTTACATATGCTTATCAGACAGTTTTCTGTAATATTTATTATTTTCTAGAACATCATCATGCTTTTGGTGCCACATATTTGGATTATGTAAACAAAACAAAGCTGAAACAAAAAACAACAGAGGAAAAAAGATAAAACTCCCTCAATAAAGAAAAAGGCAAAACAGAAAAAAGTAGTAACTTGAAAATGAGCCAGAGTGCACACAGGGGAACTGACYTGAATGTAAGCTTTGAGCAGCACTGAAGCAATTCCTGCAGATGTCTTCAGGGAAAGACTATTAATAGTGTCCCTCAAAAAAAATATAAAAAAAAAAAAAAGAAATGGTTTAGATTGGATCTCAGGGTAAAGAACAAGAACAACCTATTCCCTCTGAACTGTCTCTGCTGAAAACTGATGTTTTTTTACATTGAATGGGGAGAAGATTTGAAGTCTATAACATGTGAGATGTTTTCTTGACCTTTTTACCATCTATGACTTTGGGCAAGTCAGTTAATTTTTGTGTATCTCTCTGTACCTAAACAAAGTACAGTTATTAGTATTTATCTAAGGGTTATTTTAGGAACATATAATTGAAGCTTGTAAAGTGCTTTAAGATCTTTTGATGAAAGGTATAAAGAAATTTGGTGATTCCCTGAAAGAGTCCAGTGTTGCTCATTCTCCAAAGCTTTCGTGTTGGATTACTGGGTTTAATATTTCTCTTCAAAYTTCCTCTCTAGACTCTCATGTTCTTATACTTAGAGAGGATTTTGCGGAGAAAAAAAAAAAAAAAAGGAAAAGTGACTGGAGTGTACTACTGTGGATTAAAAAGGGGGCAAATTAAATGCATCTGGAAAGATCAAGTTTGTGTAAAAGTATCCGCTGTTAATRAACCAGATGTCATGACTTTTGAGTTTGATGGCTAACTGATGATATTTATATATATTTAGGGTTGCAAATCTTCATGGTCCTGCCAAAGTCAATGAAACAACTCCTATGTGTAACTGCTCACCAGTGAAAGTTTTCATTAATTCAGAATATGGCCTTAGAGGACTTGCATATTTTTGATAAAAACATGTAACTGAATTAGAAAGCAACTAGCATTTAATCCATTCTGATGTGAACACAGATGAGCTGCAAGTGAGAGTTTAGAAGACTATGAACAGATTGCATTAACTTCTCATTATAACCTGAGTTTTATAGGACCAAACATCATAGTAAAAATATTCCAGTTTATTAGCATCAGTATAATCTTTGATTACATGTGCCAATTAAAATATTACTGAACTTTCTGCCGTTAGTAGTTGTTTATATTTATGTATAGTAATTTGAGTTGCATTCATTTCTTTCCTTTTCAAAATCTTAAAGCTTGAATTTGGTGTAATTTACCACTGCACTGAAGAACGGTTATACACTGGTAGAAGAGGTCAAGGGGCATTTTGTAATGACAAAAGGCTTCAGGTATCAAAAGAGACAGGTTGGTCTAGATTTTGTTAGAACTCTAAAAGGAATATGTTAATTTTGTTTCAGAGTTGTTACAAATCGACATTAGGATAATGAACATCATTATCCTGATGGAAAGTATTTCTTCTGCATGATAATTTTGTTGTTATGTGTTTGCTTTTTGTTCTTTTTCTGAAAACATCACATATTTTTTCTCATTTTCTTTTAAAATATTACAGCTGAATGTGAATTCCTCTTAAGTAATCCTGAATTGTTTTGATTTATAGTCATTGTTTAAAATAATCAAGCACCGGCAGATTCACCAGTTTCATTCCAGTTTTGCCACTGGCATAGCCTTTTATAAGCAAAAAACAATGGAAATGGTGAATCAGAATCACAGTACTATAGTGTCTGTTGCTCACTTATTTCAGAAACCTTGTATATCATAAAGTGTGTTATGTCAGTAGGCCTATATGCTAACAGCCAACTAAAGGATGCATGCTTTACAGGGGGCCCTTAACAGCTTGCTTTTGTGTGTGAGGTATGTTTCAACATACAAATAGCTATCAGCATTTAGTTGACACGTTAATGGCATTAATTTGTTGGTAAGCCATATATTTGTCTGTCCATTTACCTAATGACAATAGATAACAATGATCAGACATGTATGTTTTTTCTTTTAATTGATCAAAATATAGTGGGGAATCAAAATATAGTGGGGACAGAAGCAAACGTGTGCCAGAAATGTACARCAATGTACAACAAACCTGAAACATAGCAAATTCTGGCAAATTAACATACAGATTTGCTCTAGTCTCCCAAGCAGGCCCTGCATCAAATCTTCCCTGAAACTGATGAAGTTTGGATGTTCACTTAAATTAAGTTAGTGGGTGAGAATCTCCCCATTTGGAGAGATGGAATAAATTGTAAGGTCAGTATCTTATCTCAGTAGTACCTGAGATAAGATTTTAATCCCATGTTATGCATCACATTTTTGGCTGTGCTTAAAAGCCCCATATTCCACAAGAAGTTATGGTGACAGAGACTTTGGGAAGAAATTAGGGCACCCCATCTGGGGTTAACTGAGCCACTCCTGAAACGGCCTCACTCACATATGTAGTCAGAGCGCTCTGGTCTCCAGTTGAGCAAGTAATGATTTTGGCACATGCCACTTTTGTCCTCCTTTCTCTGGACTTTCAGTCTATATAGTGTCTAAAGCACAGCACAGGAAGGGGACCTTCTACCCTTCCAAACTTTGAAAATTTCCTTTATTTTCAGCTTCATTCTTTGGTGGTGGGGATTTTCATCAGTGAAAACATAGCTTCTTTAATCTCACTTCTAATGATGTTTAAGTATATAAATTCAGAGTTGTTCTGTAAAGACTATGGCCTCAGTGAAATAAACCAGCCTTGGAGAAGAGAGAGTGTTTCCCTGAACCTCCATCTGAAGTAATCTTCACTGATGTGTGGTGTGTGGAGGGAGAGCTAGGCTGACATGTTGCCTCATGCCTTTTGTTTGAGATTGTTCTGTAAAGTTAAACTACACAGTATCTTCAAGGCAGACATTAGGATTGTTCAAATTATTTGAAATTATGGTACAGATCAAACTGCTCTTTGTTAATGGTTAATTTTGTGTAGATGTAGTTTGYGAGGTCCAGCAGTCCCTTTGACTTTGATACTTTCTTCTTACACTTAGATTCAGGCCTGGCCTCCCATGTGCTAATACTGTATTTTATTTTTCTRGTCTTTTTCTGTGGTCTTCAGAATTGATCTTTTCTTCATAAATCTATCTGCATCACTGTTAAATCTCTTCTACCAACCCCCCTATTTTTCTGTCTTATACCGGTGTGAGGAGTGCYCAGTAAATTTTCTCTTGCACCTTGAACTGCTGAAGCCATATTGAGCATTGGGAGCAGATACCTCCTTCTGAGTGCAGTTCTTCCCCTTCCTCACGTCAGTCTCATCATCCAACTTATAACTGGCCGTAGCCTTATTTAAAATTAGAGATATCTGTTTTTTTTGGGAGGAATATCTTTGATAACTGAAAAGCACAACTGTCTTTGTCATGACCTAGCTGTGACTGGTGTTGCATTTCGGCCATGAGGCATGCATCGAGTTTTACGTAATTATAAATTGGCTCTGTTATGCAGAAAGATCTAAGGCAGATTGCTTTCACCATCCAGAATTTTCAGGTGTACCTAAGCAGCGAATACCCTGCAGCATGTCTGGATTGGTGTTTTTATGTTTCAGTACAGTAATTTTAAAAGTGTCTGTTAAATCTGTATTCATATAGTTAAGCTTTTGATATCCTGTAACTTTCAATCTAATTACCTATCTGTTACTCACCAACCACTTACCACATTGCATGAATCCACAATGTTCTTCTGTAATACTAAATTCACTGGTAGCCTGTTTAATTAAATGATGTCACACTCTGTCCTAATTTGCCTTTGAAAACCTCCTTGCTACTTTGCTAAGAATTTTTAGCTTATGCAATTAGCTGTAATAACCAGGTAGACTTTCCCAATGTGAATGAATGTTTAGCATTTGATGCAGGGTAGAAGGTGACACCCGGCATTGGATACAGACTGGTTAGTAAGTAATCAACTTTGAGGTTCCTTGTGTCTTCAACACCTCCTGAGTTTATCTGGCATAGAAGAAGCTTGGCATTTGACCAGCTGTCTCCACCTAAATTGGCATAAGGTTCTTATATTCTAGCAATGTCTCCTGTGAGGACTGCTGCAACACCTTGCAAGTCACTGTGAGTCTTCCCTTTAACTGCAGTAGGCTTTGACTGTGCATTAGGCTAATATCCTCATGTACTGTAAACCAGAACTTTCTTTGCTGAACACAACACAAATGCAACGTTATTGTTATTAATTGAGATACTGTTTTAGTTTATGGTAAGAAAGAGGGATTTTCAATCATAAGGTGTCTTCACTCTGAAATGTTAGAAAGAAGGGGAGCTATGACTGAATGACTGATGTTTAGGCAGAAGCTTTTCATTGATCTTACTATATTCTTAAATYTTTAATTGTTAATAAATTACATTAAAAGTTCTCTATTCAAGAACCATTATGTTTTCAAATGTAATCAGCTTATTGTCAACAACAGTTGCTAGGTCACTGGGTTATTTTTAGCTGACTGCTAATGTTAGTGAATTTGCCAAAAGCTGACTGGTCAATGAAAGAAAACAATGTATGGAAACATCTAAGACTTATAAGAATGTATTCTTATTTTTGATCTTCCTAATCGTTAAAGAAAAAAACATATGTTTAGATAAGACTATTTGATATAAAAAAATCAGTCTTGTTTCAGTTTTTAATGTGGAGTCACTTACCTTGTGAAAGTGTTTGTGGTAGAAAAAGAGGATATGAAAAATGCGTTTCTGTGAGAAGTCCATTATTGTTTAGTCTGAAGAAATTGCYCAATTTTAACTAGAAACTGTGAAATTAATGGAAAAAATACTTGCATTGCAGATATCTCGAAGGCCTTAATTTTAACAGAAATCGGTCCAAAACGTGACCCAGCAACTTTGAAATTGTTCCTTGGTAACATTGAGAGATTGCTCAAGGCCCAGGCACACGGGTAAGATATTTTAAAATCTCTCTCACGTTGTGACTGAAAATTGTGAAAAGAGCAACAAAAGAGCACCTCCTTAGGTAGAATGGGACTCTGCCTGGTGGAGTCCGCTGCACGTTTTGCAGTCTGTGGGGCTGGGCTGCAGGCGAAGGCCTCGCCGGCCGGCCCTGGTGTGTCCCCTGGCCACGGGCCCTGATGTGTCCCCTTGTCGCCGTGTCCAGGGTCCGTGTGATCGGCAGCTCTACCCTCGCGCTCTGCCTCTTGGCGTCGGGCGCCGCAGATGCCTATTACCAGTTTGGCTTGCACTGCTGGGACTTGGCTGCGGCGACTGTGATCATTAGAGAGGCAGGTGGCACTGTCATAGACACTTCAGGTGAGCAAAATGTTCTTTTCTTTCATTGATTTTTTTTTTTTTTTGAACTTAGTGGTATTTCAGGGCAACTTCTGTTACTTCATATAGTCCCTTTCCCATGACACAGAATCATTTCTAGCAGTGTTCATTAGAAATGTCTATTCTCACCATTAGACTCTGGCTGGTTATTCATGACTTAATGATGTAATTCCAGCTTGGGTTTTCATCACATCAAAGGTCTTCTGAGCCAAATTGTCTTTCTGTGACCTTGAGTAGTTCTTTTAAAGCATCAGATTTTCTGTAAAGACTAGCCGGGAAGGTTGATCATTATGCTCAGACTGCAAACACATCTCAGCAGAGACAGCTTTGCAGAAGGAAGGCCTGACAGRTACATATGTGAGCACTACTGACTAGGAAGCTCCTAGAGAACAATATAGTTTGTGTTTTATTATTTTAGATGATTATTTTGTTCATTTCTGTGGTACACATCTCCAGTAAAAATGAGCCTCTAAGACGGTGAAGTTTACAGTGACTGCGCATATGTGCTGTTTATTTTCTTTATTTACTGGTTAGTGTGCATATTGTGAAAAGTCATAGAGGACTAAGAATGCTATCCTCATTAAATAATTTCTGTKTTGTCCCTTCCTATTAGTAAATTTGCAGTAAAGCACATCTTGACTTTTATCTGACAGGAAAACAAGAAAATAGTGCATTTATTATTTTGTACTGAACATAGGTAGATATTCAGTGCTCTGTTGCTTGCTTTGGCATCATATTTAGAATTTTATTTTCKCAAGAGTTTTGAAGTTCTCAGTATCTTGATTCCAGATAGGAGYTGCCCATTTGGGTTTTCTTTCTCATCCCAAAACAGGCCATGTAAAGGTGTTTTAATGTTTCTGAATCTGTCTAACTGCAGTGTGTTTTTTATTTAAGAATATGTTGCCTTTTAACATGACCTAAGAGAATTCCTAACCCTCTTGTCTGCAGGGGGACCTCTGGATCTTATGTCCTGCCGAGTGATTGCTGCAGGCACCAGAGAGATGGCTATGTTCATAGCTCAGGAAATACAAACTATTCACTACAGACGAGATGATGAGAACTAATGGAAATTGAGTTCTTGTAATATAGAGTCCACCCTCCTGAACTACATAATTTTAACAAGATGGGTGGCTTAAAGGGTACGTGATTTCAGCAGGATGCTTTCTGTGGAGAATTTGTGTCAAATATTTTTTACAAATTTATTACAATGTGGGAAGGCCTGGGAAGATTTTTAAACCTCTAGGGATCTCGTTTCCTTTTTAATATGTATCTCTTTCAGCAGTACCTTTTTTTATAAGATAGCATATTTTACTTGTAGTGTTTGTTTCAAAATTAAGTTGTAATTTCATATCCGTGGGGCTGATATTTAGTCTTTTGTAACATGCAGCTAAAAATGGAACTTTATTTTTACAGATGCAGATCTCAGGTAAATGAGCTTTAGGACTGTAGTAAGGATGAGTAGTTAAAATGTGTGCCTATAATACCCTTGTTCTATAATACTTAAAATGCAATAAAAACGACATTAGTATTTCCTAACTATGTCATAGCTATATATCCTTATATATGTATGTGTACATATATGGCTGTGTATATATATACACCGATACATGTATATGCAAGTATACACACACATATTTATACACACACACACACCCAKGTGTATATGTGGGTATCGTGGATGTTTACAGCAATTTAGGAAATCCATAGAGAAAAGCTAATATTAGAGGTTCTTTTCAGATAAAGAGTATATGTTACTTGTGCGCTGTCAGTGGGGGCTATTGAAATGGCTGACAACAGAACTGACCATGGAAAATGTTTAATGTTTTCACACACTGCCCGGCTATCCCTTGTTTTCTTTATCCCAGTTCATAGGGATAATCATAGTGCCCTCCTACAGGCCTCTGTAAGATGCTCAAACCTGCAAATACTTCTGTCACGGAGCAGGTATAGTTAAAATCAGGACTATTGAACTCACAGTTCAATACTCACAGTATTAACTGTGACCCACAGTAGTGGGACACCTCTCTCAAGGAGCTCTTGATTTTAGTGACACTTCGAGCAGTGTTTGGCTCCCACTGACAAGTTATTAAAAATAAGCACATATGCTATGCTTGCAAAAAACGGTAGCTGTAAATCACCTACCCTTCTCACAGAGCTGTAATCATGCTATCTGAATGGAGAAAACKGTAAAAACAGTTATATACCTTTTGTAAAAGCACAGTTGCTCTATGTCCTTGAATCTAGCAGATTTTAATTCCACCAAGGTAATAATTTTTTATCTAGATTGTTTTTATTGAAAAATAGGTAAAAACACTAAAAATAGTTCATATGAAATCACCTCTAATTTTTTTCTTAAAAAGTTGAATTTAAAGAGATCTCTTTTTTGCAAGAGTGAAATAAATAAATAAATAAATAAATGCACCAAAAGATACTTATTGGTCAAATTTTTTTAAATTTGTTTTTACACTGCATGTGTCGACTTCGTATGTGTGCTCAGCTCTCTGCCTAGAAGACACAAACCAGAGTCCTGACAAATAACCTTAAATGTCTTTTTTGCCATGAGAAATATTTTTCACTGAAGATGACACAGTTTCCGTGAGATTTCTTGATTAAAAAAAAAATGAGAAAAAAAAAAAGAGAAACACCAAGTATTGACGGTGTGAGGAACGTCTGAAACGCACGCCCTTGATCCGGCCCGGCGCTGAAGAACCGCGCGGAGGAGGAATTCCCAGCGGCGGCCGGAGCTGTCCTCCGTCACAGTGATCCAGCTCCGCGCATCCCGCTGTTGCCTCCCTTGGAAGCTTAGATTGTGAGCCCCTCGGGGCAGGGACGCTACCGGCGTTCTGGGTTTGCACAGTGCGGAATAGCCGGGATTCTGGTGCACGGCAGGGCACTGAGGTGCTACGAAGTCGTGAATAATAAATACTAATAAGCTCTCTGGTCTCGCCTTGTCTCGCCCCGGCTCTCTCGGAGGACAGCTGAGGTCCAGGCGGCAGCTGTGGAGCCTGCTCGCCCCACGCTGATCCCGAGGGCGCTTAGCCTTGGAGCCTCGAGCAGCCGGCGGAGCAGAGGGGCTTTGCTCTAACTCCTGCCGCGGGGATAAGCTCCGCAAGGA